CCTTAACAGCAACCCAGTAATAGTTAAACTGAACCCAAGTCCTCAAGCCTGAGCCCTGAAAAGCCCATACGTAGGAAGCCTCCCGGGGAGCAAGTTGTGAGACAGTAAGGGAAGGCCATCCATCCTGACTGCTGCCCCCCCCCCCCCCCCCGCAACCCTGATGTAGGCAGCAGTCTGCAAAAGAAGTCCCACAAACGCCGCTGCGCTTTAAAAGGGGGGGGCTGTGGGTTTCCATGTGCGTCTGGGAAGGGCGGACGAGCGTGCACGCAAACAAGAGATGCCAAATCTTCAACAGTACATGTTAAGCTCCGTGTCCAGCAGCCAAATTCTAAATTTTTCGCGTATATTAAACCCCTTCCAAAAAAGAAACGTTTAAACTGTTCGGGGCCTGGGGATTGGAGAAGTAAGTAAGCCTGATTAAGCGCTGCATCCTAAGCCCTGCATCATGATGAAAGCAACCGCTTTTAAGGAGCAGCATGGACGACGATACGCCCACCCAGGCGTCCAGGGGCAGATGGATAGAGCTTGGAATGTCGGTTTCACAGCTTCAGGTGCAAAAACCAAAGTGTAGCCTCTCGACCCATCACTTGCATATGTCGGGCATTTGTAGATTCTGTTTGTTGAAGGGAAGCGATAAGGGAGAAGACGTAGGTCATGCATAGCTTCCTTTTTGGGTACATAGCAGATGGCGACGCAGGACTCAAGTTCCCAAGCAATGAAAATCCAGTGTTCGAGGTTCTTGTGTGACCGCACACCATGTTCATGTCAAGACAAGCCCCCCAACTGCGGATCACGTTTTGCGCGTCCGTGCTCGTTTGTTACAATTCAAAATATGGCTCTCAATGTGTGCAGTCAGCTCTTGCAAGCATAAATTTGACGACTCTCGCAAGGTACCTTCAAGCGGACATGTCATCCCCTAACATCATGCGCGTATGTGTCATACCGGTAGCACATACTGGGCTTGGAGTTTGATAGATGTCTTCAGAATTTTCGTGCTACGATGTGCCCATCTGCTGTTTTTAGTACACAGACACTCAACATATTGAGAGCTAGTCTTGCCAAGCAGAGTTTTGCCTGATAGCGGATGGTGAGGGAGAGGCCCGAATTACTGCTATGGCTTTTTTTGAATTCCAAGTGCAGATAACAATACCTCTTCGCAACCCACTACAATTCCAGTGTGTATTTCATTTCCCTACTCTTTGGCTACTATCCCTGCACACGATCTAACCTGGCATCGTGTGCAAAAACCGTTGATTGCTTGATTCTAATCTTTTTAGCGTCAGCCCCACCCACCCTAAACCCTAAACCCTAAACCCTAAACCCTAAACATGCACCCTCACGAGTCGTGATGCGCGAAGGATGCAGACGCTGCTGCTGGGGTGGTCAGGGCCCCATCTCTGCAATAATTGGGTTGCTGTTAAGGACCTTAAGCTAAGTGACTATAATCAAGAAACCCAATAAGTTACTATATACCCATAATATGGCAAGTTGAAGTAAGGTCCTTAACCGCGGACCAGTCTAAGTTGTCCGCTTCTTCGGACCAGCCAGACATTCGCGACATGGTAATTTGTCCACACGCCTGTTCCCCAAATGGCTAGTATGCCTAATAATTGCCCCTGTACTTTCCCGATAGGCTTACAGGAACCCTCGAACATTTCCCAAAGAACCTCTAGATCGACCCCCATGTGAAGAAGAGTGGAAGTAGGCTCCTGGCAGTGTACGGGTGTAGCCCTGCTTGTTTCCCCTGATGTAGGAGCTACAGCAAAAAGCCATGTCTGTGTCATCTTAGTTCGGGGAACCTAAACCCTGAACCTAAAACCTTAACCCTAAAGTCTTGCGGGGTCAACTGCCAGGACTGTAAGTATGAGGCATTGCAATCAGCGCTAGGCGAAAAGGTGGAAATCAGGCCGAACCCTGCTCACATGAGAGCTGTCTATACACTCCATATTTGGATATGTTGGGGTATATATTAGGATAGATGTTAGGGTTATATCTTAGGGCTATAATGGGGTTCTATTAGGGTTATAATGGGGTTATATTCGGGTTATAGTGGCTTTATATTAGGGTTATAATGGGGCTATATTCACAAGGACCGTTGTAAGCTACTGCATCCCCAAGAGCAACAGAAACGTCAGGAATCCCGGAAGCTTAATCAGTACTCCCTCAGCCCTTAGCCTTTTCTTCCTACATCCTCAGACCCTTTCTTGGGCTTTGTGAACTCCTTATGGTAGGGGAGTTTCTCAAAGTCTCCGCTACACATTCCCTAACGTGGGTCGCCTTCAACAGTCCCTTTGTGTGTTCCCAAAATCCGGAGCCCCGCAGGGTTTGATAAACCCACATATGAAGACTTGACGTGCCCCGAAGGCAGCGGGTCAGCCCAGATCGCAAGGCTGCTCGGGTCAGGTAATACAGGGCCTTGTATAGGGGTTCAGTTTTGGGCTTCTGTTTTGCTTTGGAGGTTTGTTCATCATTAGTTTCAATGGGGACCCCCTATGCCGGGTTATGACTGACTTATAACTACACATGAACCTCCAAGGAGGGTTTACTGTGACTAGAGGCTATCTGGCATTGTAGAGGGCAAAAGAGTTGCTGAAGCTGGGCATCTTACTTGGTTAGGTATGACAAGGTTTAGGGTTAAGGTTTAGAGGGAATCCAGTCTTGAGGTAGCCACGTCATACCGCTCGCGGAAAAAGTCTCAGTTTTTTCACTTATTTGGTCCGCGTGCTATGCCCTGGACAAAGGCCACATTGTGATATCCTTTCAATGATATCATACCTTCCCCCCCAAATCCTAAACCCAACACCGCTCAATCCTAAACTCCATTCATTCGGGGCTCCAATATGATTTGGCATCCTAAACCCTAAGCCCTAAATGATTAGTCTTGTAGCTGGGTCCCGAAGCCGTAGGCCTTGATCCCAACACCTGAGCCCCCCAAAGCCCAAACCTTAAACCCCGAACCCTCATATGGGTGGTTGTCAAAATTACGATCCCTCTTTGGGTACCCGAAATATTAGGTGCCGTATGATAATAGGGACCCAAAAAGGGCCCTTAATTTCGACAACCACCCATACTTACGTGTGCTCTGAACAGAAGCCAGGATGTAGGCGTTTCCAAAAATGAGGGGTGCCATGAGCAAGTCTGTGTAGTAAGGACCCGTTTTTGGAAATCTCCATGTCCTCAGGAAGCCAGCCAGACGCCAAACGGCCGAGACTCTGACTCCACTTTTCTGGGCTTGCTCCTCAGCTTGCCATGGGGGCTTAAATCCCCAAAGGTTAGGGTTTGGGGTCCTAAACCTCTGAAATTTAGGATCCAGATTTCAAGGTCTAGAGCGTCGAACTTCTGGAGCCTTTCAATACTCTGTCACAATGATCCCTGTACAATTCTTAAGGGCTTAAATTAGGATCCAGATTTCAAGCTCTAAGGAATGATCCTTACATAATGCTGAAGGGATCTTTGGAACCTCCTTATCACCGCCTTGTCATCCTTCAGAACAAATATGTCAGGATTGTCTTCTGGTTCTAACAGACCCTTCAAAAATGCGAACTAGGCTATAGAAGCGCTTATGAACCATAGGTCTCATCACTATTTCGCTTCAAAGCCACAGGCCTCATTATATTTCCTGGCTGATACTGTGTGGGGGTTGATCGGAAGCAATGTCGTAAGCGTCTAAGGCCCCCCTTTACAAACCCGAATATATTATCATTTTCAAGAACACAGCCAAACGGTATGCAATTTTGTGGAAACCCTCTATACGCCCCTGGGGCCCAGAAGGTACCCCCGTCTCTCGAATTTTCCATGTGCAGAGAGACTTGTTCGGTTGTTGCCCAGGATTCACCATTCTTGCACTCACGACTTGCATGCGTAGTTGAGTTGTATTCCAGGCAGGGCCAGCAGGGCTACTGAAATTCCGAATAGAGTCAGATCCTAATTCAGTTTTGGTCATAATTCAAAAAAAGTATTTTGCCCTTATTTGGTTCCATCCTCGTTAGCCCGACTCCGGACCTAAAACTACATGGGCATAACATGTCCTGAAAACTTCGCATAGCTATGCATATGAGCTATAGTCTAAACTCCTAGTATCCCCCTTAACATCCCTATAATATTCCTTACATAATCCCTTATCCAGCCCCCCTTCGAGGAGTTTAGACTGTAGCGCATATCACTTGTGGCTTGTAATATACAGACCCAGCACCCCCTCATCTTAAACAAAAAAGCCACAATGTTTAGGGTTTAGGGTTTAGGAGTTTAGAGTTTAGGGTTTGGGGGTTTAGGGTTTAGGGTTTAGGCTTTCGGACAACCTTTGTTCAAGACAGCGAAGCCGGCATCGTCAGTGCAGAATAACATTTTGTCTTTGAGCAGTGAGGAACCTTGAAGAGTTAATAATTTCATTACCTATGGTAACGAACCCTTGTACAAGTATAGTGTAACACTTATTCTAAGGGTTGGGCTTCTTGAAGGAGTGTTGCACCTTCATCCAGTTTAAGAAAATGTTTCTCCAAGCTTGCTTTCAGCCAAGCCTTACTTACTTTAAGATGCTGATTTTTCTTGTAGTGATTGTTAGCACTGTTTATGTACTGAGTGCAGTGTATGATCCTTTCGAGTGTTGTTCTCAAGCTTATGACTCCTTGTAATGCCATTAGTGCCTCCCTTGCTTCCAGCACTATTATGCAAACGAACCTTTTTGTTCGTCCGGCCGTGTTCGATGCAGCGATAGGCCATTGGTCAACCACTTGCACACCTGCATACATACAAACAAACAAGCAACCATACGTACATACATACCTACCTACCTACGTACATACGCACATACATGCATACATACATACAGACATGCACACATACATGCAGACATACATACACAACAATATGCACACGCATACACACGTACACACGCAATAACACACACACATACACACACACACACATACATACATACATACCTACCTACATACATACATACATTCTTACGTACATACGTACATATACATGCATACACACAAACATTCATGTACACATACACATATACAAGTACGCGTATATACATATACACATACATAAACATGTACATACGACCACATACATACATGCCACATACATACATGCATGCATATACACATGCATATGCATATACATATACATATGCATATGCATACATGTGCATATACACATACACATAGGCACATACATACACATACATACATATACATACACATACATACACATACATACATGCATACATGCAAACACATACTTACACACACACACATACATGCATACATGCGTACATGCATACATACACATACACATACATACACATACATACACATACATACACATACAGACACATACATACACATACATACACATATACACACATACATACACATACATACGCATACATACGCATACATACACATACACACACACATACATACATGCATACTTACACACACACATACATGCATACATGCATGCATGAATGCACACATAAACACATACATACATATACACATACACACACACATATACATGTACATATACATACACGGCATACACATACATATGCATACATGCATGCATACATACATACATGCATGCATACATACATACATACATACCTACCTACCGACATACGTACGTACGTACGTACACAACGTACTTAAGGCCCCCAAATTCCAAGCCAGCCCTAAACAACCCAGACCTTGACCCCGAAACCGCAACACCTTGCCATTTTGCAAGGCAAGCGCTGTAGGAAGCCACCGTTGCTCGTACCGACAGGCTCGCAGTACCGTATCGGGTCTGCACCAAATGGGTCCCTCTTCCATCCGTGGGGGTTTCTCTAAAATAGAGGTACCCCGAAAGCCTCGGAGAAACGTAGCGATTGCAAGAAGTGGCTGGCCTGCCCCGAAAGTCTGGTATCTTCATAGCAGTTGCCCGGCCGTCCTACACCCTCCTTAGAAGCTTGAGTGAGTCCTTTGAGTCCTTTACTCTAGTTCGGCTCCTGGCTGGGCATCATTAGGGTCAAAGGTTGAGGGTAGATTGGAATTCTACATCCCTCACGGGTTTAGGGGATGAAGATGAGAAAAGTATTCAAGAATAATCCAGTAATTCTTCTTCGGCCGTTCCCACCCATGACGAGGGCTGCCCACAAAGAGTTTGGGGTTTATGTGGCACATTGGACTTTTGGTCAGCTACAGCCCTCTAAAGCCCAGTGATGATGCTCCTTCACAATCAATGCCGTCATTCAACGGTGTACGTAGGTCTCTAAAAGATGCCAGCGTGAGTTTTGCAGTGCGGGAAACAGATCCCAAGCAGCCATGTGGTTGCAATGATGCCGTTCTCTGTTGGCAATCGCCACTTTCAGTCCGTATCCCTAATTAAGCTGTCGCAGGATGACAAGCCGACACTCCCAGAACCTAGCCTAAACTCTAAACCCTAAGTCTCTCAAACCTAAATCCTACACCTGAAAGCCTAGACCCCATAAACACTTAACTTTATAACACCCCATTATGCGTGTTTCCATTTCTTTTCCATTATCCCAAGATAGACCCTATATATATATATATGCTTGCCCCCCCCCCAAGATCTACGTTTAGAGTGTTTTTTCGCCAAATTAAAAAGAAATCCTTAATTCCTGGGTTTCTCATTCTTGGAAGGATTTTCCTCTATGTGAATTCCTTTTAACATGTAATTAGAAATTAAAGAGAAATCCTCAATT